CTTTCTTCCCCTATTCTTTGTTTTTCTGTTCTATTTGACCATTTTTATCTATGTATATTTGCCCATATAAGTTATATTTTAATAAGTGGTTAGCATTCATTTAATAACACTTTCAGTCTTGAATATTTCTTTAATTGTGTATGTATGTATGTGTTCGTGTTTTTTTTTTTTTTTGTTTTTTTTTTTATAAAGGGCCGTGGAGATGTCCCTGTCTCGTCACTTTTTTGTGTGTGCATAAATCTAAATATGTCTGGGTGCTTATATATTATAATCTGAGTGTGTTTGTCTTGTTTTACGCGAGAGGTTAGGACCCCACTCACACACTTGGAATTAAAATGTATGTTAAAATTGTTATGGTATACTTTTTCACACCCAACCCAGTTCTGTGGAATCAGAATCAACGTCGAGTTTAAGCAAGCGAATGAGCCAATTGGAGTAAAGTGCCATGCAGATTTAAATTTTTCCCACTTGTGACGAATGTAGCTAACGATTTTTTTCCATGCTAGCATGGTAGTTAACATTCATGTCAGTCAGCTGTTGGCTCTCACGCTGGCCAATAGAATCTTCCTGCCTATTCGTGGCAGCCAGCTATAGACTCTCATTCTGGCCAGTAGAAAATGGTCGCAAACTACATGAAAACTGCCGTAGAAGCACGAAAAAATCGATTATTTCCACTATCGATGGGAGTTGGGAAATGCAAAGTCGGTCTTGGGCTTCCCCCTAACTTGGAGCATGTGCATGTAAATTTTAGTGCAAATCCGTTGGAAATTGCGGCCATGCACTCGTTACACACACACACACACACACACACATCCTGCCTTTTATAGATAGAGATGAAAATATATCTGTTGCTTTAACAATTGTTAGGCTTTCGAACCAGAACTTGGTGAGAAAATGTAGACTAAAAGGGAAACCAGCCTAATATAAGTAATGAAATTACATACACTACTTTAAATATTAGGAGCGATTCAACCAAAAATTCAATTCAAAATCAAAAATGCGTTGAAAATTATCTCGATATTAATGCTGTATATACATACGCTAACTGCTGCTTTGTGGAACAGAAATAAAAACAATAATAATATAAAGAATAGACGAAACAAAGTCCTTATAATAAGGAAATGGGAAGAAATTGCTGGACAATGGAAAAATTTGGACATATTCATGTTATACTGTTGGTGGTAAGTGAAAACAATTTGAAACAGTAGATTTATATCATGTTTTGCTTGAAGAATAATGAATGTAACAGTGAACAGTTAGCCGTATTAAAAATGGCTTATGGTGAACATCCAAGAGGAAATCGGGTGTATTTGAGTTGCAAAAGCAGTTGAAGTAAAGAGGAAATATACACCAGAAGTGGGCTGTCGGACACAGGAAGAGCATGTGAAAATAGGGACAGAGTTGGGAAAATCGGTACCCTCATATATATATATATATAGAAATTACTAATTTTTATATATATATATATATATATATATATATATATATATATATATATATATATATATTTATGAATAAAAATGGCAATAGGAAAACTGGTAATTGCTGACGCGTTTTTCGTCAATGTGGACTTTATCAAAGCAAATTTTTTTTTTTCGTATTTTGCTTTGATAAAGTCCACATTGGACGAAACGCGTCAGCAATTACCAGTTTTCCTATTGTCATTTTATTCATAAATATTGTCTTCTCTATTGGTTAAATCGGAGAAATTTTCTATATATATATATATATATATATATATATATATATATATATATATATATATATATATATATATATATAAATTAGTAATCTCTGTCTGTCTGTTCATTATCAAACACCTCCTAGGATTTTGGAGATAGGCACCCATAACTATATGTATTCAATAACTACATTACCCAGGGTACTTAAATAATTATATTTCACTTTCATCAAATGGATTCTCAGGGTGGGGGGTAGAGCTGCATTGAATTTTCCCCACTTTGATTAAAATTAAATTTGAACAAGATAATGACTCCTATCCACGATATAGAAAGAAAAATCCAGAAGATGGAACTGAAGTCGGTAATATCAAGATGAAACAATATGGACGTCAAGTTGAGCAAGAAATCACTAATCAGTGGGTGGTACCTTACAATACGTAATTGTTGTAATAATTCAACTGTCACATCAATGTTGAAATCTGCTTATCAATTCATTCAATCAAATATTGCATTAAATACATATCAAAAGAGTTAGATCAAGCTGCTTTTGCACGCAACCACGACTGAAAGTTTTTTCCTCTTTTGATTTAAATTAAACAATTTTAAATTTGAACAATGTAATGACTCCTATTCAAAATATAGAAGGAGAATACCAGAAAATATAGGTCACATCGGTAAATTTTTTTGATCAAAGGTGGTCCTTGGAGGGCACAATTCCCCACTGAATGTTTTTTTTTCCTTTGATTTAAATTAAATGACACCTATCCGAAATATCGAAGGATAAAACTAGAAGACGGAGGTTACATCGGCAAGATCAAAATGAGACAATGTGGACGTCAAGATGAGCAAGAAATCACCAATCAGTAGATAATGCCTTACAATGCAATATCTGTTGTGATAATTCAACTGTCATATCAACGTTTAAAATGTTCATCAATTCATTCAAACGAGTATTGCATCTAATACAAATCAAAAGGATCAGATCAAGCTGTTTTGCAGCCCCCCCCCACGCTGAAATATTTTTCTCATTTATTTCAATTAAATTTGAACAAGAGAATGACTCCTATCCAAAATATAGAAGGAGAAATCCAGAAGATGGAGGTCATAACGACAAGATCATTGAGCAATATTGAAATACATCATTATTCTCCATAATTTATGACAATGATTTAAAATCGATCATCATTTTCTTACAAGAAAATCTGTGACACGGAGCAAGGCACTGGTAATTCGACTATTCTAAGATAATGTGCACGACTGACAACAGAAATCTTCACTTCTGATCAGAAAAAAATCGTCTTCACGTTTCATTCGATTTTTTGAATGATGCATACATACTTGATAGGGCCATTACCGGCGGCGAATACCCAATTCGATTGTCAGACAACCAGTAAACACGTGACTACACTACTGAAAGCTATTCCATTAAACAAGTTCCAACTACGTTGCCAGCAATAGCGCCATCGTCTCGCGAAGTGCATAGTTCCACAAAAAGAGTATTTTGAAGGTGATAAAAACCAATAGTGACCAGATAAGCAAACTTAAACCAAGGCTCATTTCGAGATTTAATATGTCAAACGTCAAATATATAAAAATATACAAAATCCTTTTTTGACATCCAATTTCTATGCATATATATATATATATATATATATATATATATATATATATATATATTAAGAAATGGACAGAGTCCGACAATTTATTTATTAAAGACATTTTTATGTTTAACGTTCTTTTTTATAGATACAAGTATTTAAGTAAATGCTCTGTTTATAATAAAAAAAAAAGAACGTTAAACATAAAAATGTCTTTAATAAATAAATTGTCGGACTTTGTCCATTTCTTAATATATGACGTCATTTGTTTACATTTGATACGCCAGAGCAGTTATGAATGTACGAGATTCATGGAAGATTAAAGTTTATAAACAGTAAAATTCGACCTTGCTTACCGAACGCTCCTTTGTGGCCGAGACGGTTAAGACACGTCAGCGTAAATGACGGTTCCGTATAGAATGCAGGTTCGAATCCTGTCAAAGGACGGATATTTTCTATGAAAATTTCTCGGACATTCAGGCCGTTATGTTATTTAATGCTGTTTATTATAAACAGAGCATTTACTTAAAAAAAGAACGTTAAACATAAAAATGTCTTTAATAAATATATATATATAGTGTAACCCGTAAAGAGAGTTGTCGGGACCGGAGAAGAAGTCTCTTATACGCTACTTGTAAACAAACAGTTATTTCTGAAGAAAGATTGAGGTCAATCTGAAATATCAAATATATATATAAATACTTTCATAAAAAAAACATTATTATTTTTTTAATTTGCAACTTTTTCTATATATACATATTAAGTATAAGTGGCTTCTCATTATGCTATGCTATGCTATATATATATATATATATATATATATATATATATATATATATATATATAGGAATGGGATTTTTTTAAAATTAATCTGATAGATCTTTATTACACTAAAAATAACGTTTAAGTAATAAAAATATATATAAATATACAAATAGATCTGTCTATATTTCTGAGATGAGGTATTATGTACATTATTTACATTATTCGGACTATTGTCCTCGTCTTTTTCGCCATATTTATTACAACGTTTCGGAAGTTGTACGCTCCGTTCTTCTTCAGGTGGTTGGGATGTCGAACTGAACCGTTTATTTCGCTCATTGGGATAGACTGTTCTAGTTCCACGTGCCATGTTTAATGGATGTCAGTTATCAGTTATCTCCTGTTAATTTCCCTCTGAAAGATCTCCACTGCCTTCCACTAAACCGTCCTTCAGGCCTTCAGTAATGGTGCCAACATTCATTCTCTGGTTTCCATCTTCAAAGCCCATTCAAGAATCATCAAGAGAATGGTGAATAAGTTTAAAAGGAGGGAACATTAGAGAGGAAAACTGGATCAGGAGGTCACAACAGCAAGAGGGATCCTTATTTCAACTTAGAGCTAAATACATTCTTATTGTTCAAAGTAGAGTCCAATAGTGTTATAAAAATCTCAGAAAATTCCAGTAAGATATCTTTAATCATTTCTAATGTAAAGTCTAATCTAACATTTGGACAATTTGACTGTTTCACGATTTAGGCAATTTTCTTGTTACAGCCTCGATAGGACAGAGAGACAAAGAGGGACACAGAGAGAATTAATACAAGTAAAAGATTTGTCACGTAGTCTGATTGTCTGATTGGTCCAGACTACAAAGTTCCGTAGACGGACTCCCCAGGAGACAATCCGTTCACTCCTTGCGTGGGGGGTATCAACAATTGACTGATATATATGTACATACGAAGAACACATAAAATATACATTATATAGATAGATAGATAGATAGATAGATAGATAGATAGATAGATAGATACTATACAAAAATCTTTGTCATCAAATTGATATATATATATATATATTATACAATAGTAATTAAGATTACATCAGATTAATGATCATTTTCGACTTGTAAATCGAAATAAAATTTACAAGGTTTTTTCAAACAAGTCAATGAATGATAAATTATTAGGATTCACTTGGATTTTATATTGACTGTTTGAAAAATCCTTGTAAATATTATTTCAATTTAAAAGGTGATAATGATAATTAACCTAATGTAATCTAAATTCCTATTGTATGAAATATATTGCTCTGTTTAATTAAAACATTGATCTCTGTGTGAATCAGTTTTAATATTTAATATTTTATATTCTATTAATTTGGATTCACTTGGATTATACACCAACGGATTATTACCTATATATATATATATATATATATATATATATATATATATATATATATATATATTTGTATATTTAGGCAGCAATCCTTCCTTTATGCATGTTTCATTAAAAACGCCAGACAAGGTACTACGGTGAAGATTTTTATTTAATTTTTCTAGTGTTCGAACAAGAGTTTTCTTTTCTGGACGAAGGGTGTGTAAGAACTGTCCAAATGTTTTATATTTCCGAGTGCTTTCGGCTATATCTTTAGCCATTATCAAGGATGATTCGATTTTTCAGCTTAATTGAGTGTGTGCTTTCTGTGTATGTCTTAGTGTGTGGTAGGGATGTTTTTAATTTCCGAATACGGTTAGCACATTGTGGCTTTGTTCGTAGTTGATATTGTTAAGAGTTGGCTTTTTCTTTTTTTATTATTAAAGCTTCCATTATTTTTAGTTTTTTTTTTTTTGCAGATGGATGCAGTTAATATATTTGTGTTTTCTATTAGTATGTTTCTAATGGAGTCTGGTAAATTTGTGTGTGTGTTTAAATGGGTTCTAATGGAGCTGTGAACAGATAGGTGTAACGTAAGACGTCTGGATAAGCATGTGGTTGTGTAACCGATGTAATTATTTATGAGTCCGGTTTGATCAGGAACACAATTCCTTAAGGGGCATTTGAACTCATAGATAATGTTCGTTCTTTGTAATTTTGACTTAGTTGGTATGTTGTTATTTTTGAGGATAAGGTTAACTGTCTTAATTTTTTTTTATAATAGATAATAAATTGGATTTTTTTATTCGAGTCAACTGGAGTAGTACATTTCTTTATAATATGCCTTAGAGAAGATTCGTCTTGTTTGTAATTAATATACATTTAGTTTTTGTAATAAATGTGTATGTGATTTTTGGCTGTGTGTTCACTATCGTTATTACTTGCTTTGAGGAGAAATAGTCTAATTTGGTGGTCTATAAGGTGGTTAGGGAAACCGTTGTTGATTAGTGTTTGTTTAACAATATATATATATATATATATATATATATATATATATATATAAATTAATTGATTTAAAATATGTGTTTTTTCGCTACACAGTTCTAACCATGTTTCAAAAATAGAAGCTAGAAGCTTTTAGCTTCCATTTTTTAAACATGGTTAGAACTGTGTAGCGAAAAAAACATATTTTAAATTAATTAATTTATAATATTAATACTCTGTAAATTTACATTGAGCACTATTTTGTAAAAATAAACATATCTATAAGAACACCGGATTATATATCTTACTGTTCTTTCTTTTATATATATATATATATATATATATATATATATACACACACACATCCCTGGTATATGACATGAGCGAGTTTTAAGCGTACTACTAGATTGTCAACTATTTAACTGTTTAACTGTTGAACTAGCAAAATACAACCGTAAGTTCTATTCTAACGTTTTCTTTTTCCTCCATTTTTCGCCTGTGGAACTTTTTACAGGTTTTTTTGCTTCCCTGACATCTTCAAAACTTTAAATGCAACGCCAATAACACTCTTCTGTCTTTCTGAATCCTGTTCTTTTATCGTCCTTTCTCCTCACTAAAATCTTCTCATTCTCATTCAATCTGTGTAATCCCTTGCCTCTTATCGACATCTTTTGTCTTCCTGAACCCTGTTCTTTTATTGTCCTTACCCCTCACTGGGTCACTCCCAATAACCCTTCTTTCATTTGATTTTTACCGTCTTGCTTGTGGTGAAATGACTCAAAAAAATGGAAACGTCGTAAAGTGAACGAGGGCCAGCTATCAGCTAGCTTCCGAATCTGCTAGGGCCGCTAGCCAATCCCTATTGAAGATGCTTTCTCAGGCACGTTTGTGTTCGACACCCACAGAGCCGATCAGTGATTTGTATTGCAACAGCAAGTTTCTGGGAGAGAGCGCATCATTTGGGGTGATCAACAGTCTGAAGAAGGCCAGCACGCTCGGTCACGATGACTTGTGACTTCGTGCTAGCACAAACACCGACGCCCTCCCAATGTCACTCGCCACATGGCTTGAGTGGTATGGTTTTTCAGGAATAAGCGAATAATAGCGATAACATCAAGAAAACACCTTCATGACAAATCGATCATTGAACCCGAGTCTCATGGTCTAAAAGCTTAATTTATAACCATTCGGCCACGTTTCTATGCATAGGAAGTGTATAGAGATGCTATAGCTGATAAGAAAGTCTATATATTTTTACAAGTTATTAAAGCTACTGAAAAAATGTGCATAATATGTAACACGTTCTTAAATAAATATTTCAGTCCGAAGACGTTAGTAAATATAATATTTTGTTTAAACAAATTTCAGCATAGTAAGAAAAAAAAACATATTTTCGTTTTACCCAGTAATATTTCCTTCGGAGACATTTAAAAAAAAAATATTGTTTATTTACTGTGTTTAATTCAAATCATTAAATTCGCGGTACATTTAGATCCCTAGCGGGAATTGAAGGCAGCCATTTTTTTTCACTTGTTTCTTTTCATTTTTTGTTTAATGGACAAAAGCAAATAGTAAAGAAATATGCTTCCTTTCTGTTGTGAACAACTTCAAATGAATAAGAAAGGCGGGAAACGGTAATAGAGACAGGAAGAATTGTTTCGACTGCTTAGAGCGGACATGTAAGCATATAACAATTTCACTAAGCATTTTTGTTTCTTCTCTCTCCATTTTTCTCTATATGTGCGTGTCTTCTCTTTTTATCTCTTCTCGAAGTTATGACAAATGCAAACATTTGAATGTATTTGCTTGGCGATGTTCTGCGAACAATAAATACGTTTTTAAAAATATGTAAAACATTTTTCTATGGGAAGAGTTGAATTGCGTGTTCCGGAAGTTGTGAGCATTCATAGTTTGGGCGCTAATAATAATAATAATAATAATAATAATAATCTGGTATCAAATCCGATAAACAAGAAAACGAATGTCTCAGGTTTATAAGTTTGTTTGTTTTTTTTTTTCGTTTTGCACACGACACTTACAAAACCCACTTCGCTAAGACAACAGCCGCTGAAATGCAAAAATGTCAAAATGAAAAAAAAAAAAAAAAAAAAAGAATGGGGTAAGTAATTAATTAATATTTCACAGCACGATATTGCTAAGTGGATATATTTATGACTATGCACTCAACAGATGCGGAAGGCGACACAAGGACATTTTGACGCCCCCAAAATATTCTAAATTCCGCTCCCCACCCCGCTCCGCCACCAACCAAAAAAATTATCTAAACTTCTTCCATTTTTTAAATCTTTATCGAAAACATTGCAGATTTTTCCCTGACCAAACACTTTCGAATAAGATTGATTTCTTTTATTTTACGACTTTGTGGGTTAATTAAAACCGAAACATATTTCGAATTTTACGACTTTGCTTCCTAAGCGGCCCCTCATCTAAATCGAGACCGGGTTTAATGCCGCTTAACTTAGTTGATCCAACGAGAAGCAGTGTTTTCACCGTACGCTTTCCTAGAGACAAGAGTGCAATGGGGAGGTATTGCCTGAACAGCGAATTGCATATTCCTCGGTCGCATTTCTTCCACACTAAAAATGAAGGAAGAATATGATGTCTAAAAGTTATGTATGTGTTGTAACCTAGAAAGTGTTACTGAATGAGAAATAACCAAAACGGAGGTTGGAAATGAAATGGTAATTTTTATAACATCAACAAAATATAATACTCGCCAGCGGCTTGAAGTAGGTAAACCACTGCTAGTGATGGACTACTTAAACAGCATATTACCCCCACTTACAATAGTGTCCAATGTATTGTTGAGGATTGGGACACACCTATTATTTTCGAAGATCAACTATTCAATCTAGAATTTGCACGACAGCATTCGTGCTTGTTCTTCAAGAACAGACGACGGTGGGTGGGAATCTTTCGAAGACGTACTATTAAATATAGAATTTACACTACAGTATTCGTGCTTGTTTACTATAAAAAACGACTCGGTGAATGTTTCGAAGAGCAACTATTGAATTTAAAATTTACACAGCAGCATTCCTGCTTGTTCTTCAAGAACAGAAACTGTGTTAGATTCAATAGTTGCTCTTCGAAAGATTCGTCCAGTCGTCTGTTCTGAAGAAAAATGCTGTAGTGTAAATTTTAGATTCAATAGTTGCTCTTCGAAAGATTCGTCCAGTCGTCTGTTCTTGAATAACAAACAGGAATGCTGCTGTGTAAATTTAGATTCAATAGTTGCTCTTCGAAAGATTCGTCCAGTCGTCTGTTCTTGAATAACAAGCAGGAATGCTGCTTTAAATTCTAGATTCAATAGTTGCTCTTCGAAAGATTCGTCCAGTCGTCTGTTCTTGAATAACAAGCAGGAATGCTGCAGTGTAAATTCTAGATTCAATAGTTGCTCTTCGAAAGATTCACCCTGTCGTCAGTTCTTGAATAACAAGCAGGAATGCTGCTGTGAGTTGCTCTTCGAAGATTAATAACAAGCAGGAATGCTGCTGTGTAAATTCTAGATTCAAAGTTTCTCTTCGAAAGATTCGTCCAGTCGTCTGTTCTTGAATAACAAGCAGGAATGCTGCTGTGTAAATTCTAGATTCAATAGTTGCTCTTCGAAAGATTCGTCCAGTCGTCTGTTCTTGAAGAACAAGCAGGAATGCTGCTGTGTAAATTCAAAATTCAATAGTTGCTCTTCGAAAGATTCGTCCAGTCGTCTGTTCTTGAATAACAAGCAGGAATGCTGAGTGTAAATTCAAGATTCAATAGTTAACTCTTCGAAAGATTCGTCCAGTCGTCTGTTCTTGAAGAACAAGCAGGAATGCTGCTGTGTAAATTCTAGATTCAATAGTTGCTCTTCGAAAGATTCGTCCAGTCGTCTGTTCTTGAAGAACAAGCAGGAATGCTGCTGTGTAAATTCTAGATTCAATAGTTGCTCTTCGAAAGATTCGTCCAGTCGTCTGTTCTTGAATAACAAGCAGGTTTAAATTCAAAGATTCAATAGTTGCTCTTCGAAAGATTCGTCCAGTCGTCTGTTCTTGAATAACAAGCAGGAATGCTGCTGTGTAAATTCTAGATTCAATAGTTGCTCTTCGAAGATTCGTCCAGTCGTCTGTTCTTGAAGAACAAGCAGGAATGCTGCAGTGTAAATTCTAGATTCAATAGTTGCTCTTCGAAAGATTCGTCCAGTCGTCTGTTCTTGAATAACAAGCAGGAATGCTGCAGTGTAAATTCAAATTCAATAGTTCTAAAAGATTCGTCCAGTCGTCTGTTCTTGAAGAACAAGCAGGAATGCTGCTGTGTAAATTCTAGATTCAATAGTTGCTCTTCGAAAGATTCGTCCAGTCGTCTGTTCTTGAAGAACAAGCAGGAATGCTGCTAATGTAAATTCTAAGATTCAATAGTTGCTCTTCGAAAGATTCGTCCAGTCGTCTGTTCTTGAATAACAAGCAGGAATGCTGCTGTGTAAATTCAAGATTCAATAGTTGCTCTTCGAAAGATTCGTCCAGTCGTCTGTTCTTGAATAACAAGCAGGAATGCTGCTGTGTAAATTCTAGATTCAATAGTTGCTCTTCGAAAGATTCGTCCAGTCGTCTGTTCTTGAAGAACAAGCAGGAATGCTGCTGTGTAAATTCAAGATTCAATAGTTGCTCTTCGAAAGATTCGTCCAGTCGTCTGTTCTTGAATAACAAGCAGGAATGCTGCTGTGTAAATTCTAGATTCAATAGTTGCTCTTCGAAAGATTCGTCCAGTCGTCTGTTCTTGAATAACAAGCAGGAATGCTGCTGTGTAAATTCTAGATTCAATAGTTGCTCTTCGAAAGATTCGTCCAGTCGTCTGTTCTTGAAGAACAAGCAGGAATGCTGCAGTGTAAATTCAAAGATTCAATAGTTGCTCTTCGAAAGATTCGTCCAGTCGTCTGTTCTTGAATAACAAGCAGGAATGCTGCTGTGTAAATTCAAGATTCAATAGTTGCTCTTCGAAGATTCGTCCAGTCGTCTGTTCTTGAATAACAAGCAGGAATGCTGCTGTGTAAATTCTAGATTCAATAGTTGCTCTTCGAAAGATTCGTCCAGTCGTCTGTTCTTGAAGAACAAGCAGGAATGCTGCAGTGTAAATTCTAGATTCAATAGTTGCTCTTCGAAAGATTCGTCCAGTCGTCTGTTCTTGAATAACAAGCAGGAATGCTGCAGTGTAAATTCAAGATAACTTCGAAAGATTCGTCCAGTCGTCTGTTCTTGAACAACAAGCAGGAATGCTGCTGTGTAAATTCTAGATTCAATAGTTGCTCTTCGAAAGATTCACCCCGTCGTCAGTTCTTGAATAACAAGCAGGAATGCTGCTGTGTAAATTCAAGATTCAATAGTTGCTCTTCGAAAGATTCGTCCAGTCGTCTGTTCTTGAATAACAAGCAGGAATGCTGCTGTGTAAATTCTAGATTCAATAGTTGCTCTTCGAAAGATTCGTCCAGTCGTCTGTTCTTGAAGAACAAGCAGGAATGCTGCTGTGTAAATTCTAGATTCAATAGTTGCTCTTCGAAAGATTCGTCCAGTCGTCTGTTCTTGAATAACAAGCAGGAATGCTGCAGTGTAAATTCAAGATTCAATAGTTGCTCTTCTAAAGATTCGTCCAGTCGTCTGTTCTTGAATAACAAGCAGGAATGCTGCTGTGTAAATTCTAGATTCAATAGTTGCTCTTCGAAAGATTCGTCCAGTCGTCTGTTCTTGAAGAACAAGCAGGAATGCTGCTGTGTAAATTCTAGATTCAATAGTTGCTCTTCGAAAGATTCGTCCAGTCGTCTGTTCTTGAATAACAAGCAGGAATGCTGCAGTGTAAATTCAAGATTCAATAGTTGCTCTTCGAAAGATTCGTCCAGTCGTCTGTTCTTGAATAACAAGCAGGAATGCTGCAGGTAAATTCAAGATTCAATAGTAAATTCTAGATTCAATAGTTGCTCTTCGAAAGATTCGTCCAGTCGTCTGTTCTTGAAGAACAAGCAGGAATGCTGCTGTGTAAATTCTAGATTCAATAGTTGCTCTTCGAAAGATTCGTCCAGTCGTCTGTTCTTGAATAACAAGCAGGAATGCTGCAGTGTAAATTCTAGATTCAATAGTTGCTCTTCGAAAGATTCGTCCAGTCGTCTGTTCTTGAAGAACAAGCAGGAATGCTGCTGTGTAAATTCAAGATTCAATAGTTGCTCTTCGAAAGATTCGTCCAGTCGTCTGTTCTTGAATAACAAGCAGGAATGCTGCAGTGTAAATTCAAAGATTCAATAGTTGCTCTTCGAAAGATTCGTCCAGTCGTCTGTTCTTGAATAACAAGCAGGAATGCTGCTGTGTAAATTCTAGATTCAATAGTTGCTCTTCGAAAGATTCGTCCAGTCGTCTGTTCTTGAATAACAAGAATGCTGCAGTGTAAATTCTAGATTCAATAGTTGCTCTTCGAAAGATTCGTCCAGTCGTCTGTTCTTGAAGAACAAGCAGGAATGCTGCTGTGTAAATTCTAGATTCAATAGTTGCTCTTCGAAAGATTCGTCCAGTCGTCTGTTCTTGAATAACAAGCAGGAATGCTGCAGTGTAAATTCAAGATTCAATAGTTGCTCTTCGAAAGATTCGTCCAGTCGTCTGTTCTTGAAGAACAAGCAGGAATGCTGCTGTGTAAATTCTAGATTCAATAGTTGCTCTTCGAAAGATTCGTCCAGTCGTCTGTTCTTGAATAACAAGCAGGAATGCTGCAGTGTAAATTCAAGATTCAATAGTTGCTCTTCGAAAGATTCGTCCAGTCGTCTGTTCTTGAAGAACAAGCAGGAATGCTGCTGTGTAAATTCTAGATTCAATAGTTGCTCTTCGAAAGATTCGTCCAGTCGTCTGTTCTTGAATAACAAGCAGGAATGCTGCAGTGTAAATTCTAGATTCAATAGTTGCTCTTCGAAAGATTCACCCAGTCGTCAGCTCTTGAATAACAAGCAGGAATGCTGCAGTGTAAATTCAAGATTCAATAGTTGCTCTTCGAAAGATTCGTCCAGTCGTCTGTTCTTGAATAACAAGCAGGAATGCTGCAGTGTAAATTCTAGATTCAATAGTTGCTCTTCGAAAGATTCGTCCAGTCGTCTGTTCTTGAATAACAAGCAGGAATGCTGCAGTGTAAATTCAAGATTCAATAGTTGCTCTTCGAAAGATTCGTCCAGTCGTCTGTTCTTGAATAACAAGCAGGAATGCTGCAGTGTAAATTCAAGATTCAATAGTTGTCTCTTCTTGAAGAACAAGAAAGATTCGTCCAGTCGTCTGTTCTTGAATAACAAGCAGGAATGCTGCAGTGTAAATTCTAGATTCAATAGTTGCTCTTCGAAAGATTCGTCCAGTCGTCTGTTCTTGAAGAACAAGCAGGAATGCTGCTGTGTAAATTCTAGATTCAATAGTTGCTCTTCGAAAGATTCGTCCAGTCGTCTGTTCTTGAATAACAAGCAGGAATGCTGCAGTGTAAATTCTAGATTCAATAGTTGCTCTTCGAAAGATTCGTCCAGTCGTCTGTTCTTGAATAACAAGCAGGAATGCTGCAGTGTAAATTCAAGATTCAATAGTTGCTCTTCGAAAGATTCGTCCAGTCGTCTGTTCTTGAATAACAAGCAGGAATGCTGCAGTGTAAATTCAAAGATTCAATAGTTGCTCTTCGAAAGATTCGTCCAGTCGTCTGTTCTTGAATAACAAGCAGGAATGCTGCAGTGTAAATTCTAGATTCAATAGTTGCTCTTCGAAAGATTCGTCCAGTCGTCTGTTCTTGAAGAACAAGCAGGAATGCTGCAGTGTAAATTCTAGATTCAATAGTTGCTCTTCGAAAGATTCGTCCAGTCGTCTGTTCTTGAATAACAAGCAGGAATGCTGCAGTGTAAATTCTAGATTCAATAGTTGCTCTTCGAAAGATTCGTCCAGTCGTCTGTTCTTGAATAACAAGCAGATTCAATAGGAATGCTGCGTCTGTTCTTGAAGTGTAAATTCTAGATTCAATAGTTGCTCTTCGAAAGATTCGTCCAGTCGTCTGTTCTTGAATAACAACAAGCAGGAATGCTTCAGTGTAAATTCTAGATTCAATAGTTGCTCTTCGAAAGATTCGTCCAGTCGTCTGTTCTTGAAGAACAAGCAGGAATGCTCGCAGTCGTGAATAAATTCTAGATTCAATAGTTGCTCTTCGAAAGATTCGTCCAGGAAGTCGTCTGTTCTTGAATAACAAGCAGGAATGCTGCAGTGTAAATTCAAAAGATTCAATAGTTGCTCTTCGAAAGATTCGTCCAGTCGTCTGTTCTTGAAGAACAAGCAGGAATGCTGCTGTGTAAATTCTAGATTCAATAGTTGCTCTTCGAATAACAAAGATTCGTCCAGTCGTCTGTTCTTGAATAACAAGCAGGAATGCTGCAGTGTAAATTCAAGATTCAATAGTTGCTCTTCGAAAGATTCGTCCAGTCGTCTGTTCTTGAATAACAAGCAGGAATGCTGCTGTGTAAATTCTAGATTCAATAGTTGCTCTTCGAAAGATTCGTCCAGTCGTCTGTTCTTGAATAACAAGCAGGAATGCTGCAGTGTAAATTCAAGATTCAATAGTTGCTCTTCGAAAGATTCGTCCAGTCGTCTGTTCTTGAATAACAAGCAGGAATGCTGCAGTGTAAATTCTAGATTCAATAGTTGCTCTTCGAAAGATTCGTCCAGTCGTCTGTTCTTGAATAACAAGCAGGAAATGCTGCAGTCGTCTGTTCTTGAAGTGTAAATTCAAGATTCAATAGTTGCTCTTCGAAAAGATTCGTCCAGTCGTCTGTTCTTGAATAACAAGCAGGAATGCTGCAGTGTAAATTCTAGATTCAATAGTTGCTCTTCGAAAGATTCGTCCAGTCGTCTGTTCTTGAAGAACAAGCAGGAATGCTGCTGTGTAAATTCTAGATTCAATAGTTGCTCTTCGAAAGATTCGTCCAGTCGTCTGTTCTTGAATAACAAGCAGGAATGCTGCAGTGTAAATTCTAGATTCAATAGTTGCTCTTCGAAAGATTCGTCCAGTCGTCTGTTCTTGAAGAACAAGCAGGAATGCTGCTGTGTAAATTCTAGATTCAATAGTTGCTCTTCGAAAATTCGTCCAGTCGTCTGTTCTTGAATAACAAGCAGGAATGCTGCAGTGTAAATTCTAGATTCAAGAAAGTTGCTCTTCGAAAGATTCGTCCAGTCGTCTGTTCTTGAATAACAAGCAGGAATGCTGCAGTGTAAATTCTAGATTCAATAGTTGCTCTTCGTAAAAGATTCGTCCAGTCGTCTGTTCTTGAAGAACAAGCAGGAATGCTGCTGTGTAAATTCTAGATTCAATAGTTGCTCTTCGAAAGATTCGTCCAGTCGTCTGTTCTTGAATAACAAGCAGGAATGCTGCAGTGTAAATTCTAGATTCAATAGTTGCTCTTCGAAAGATTCGTCCAGTCGTCTGTTCTTGAATAACAAGCAGGAATGCTGCTGCTGTGTAAATTCTAGATTCAATAGTTGCTCTTCGAAAGATTCGTCCAGTCGTCTGTTCTTGAATAACAAGCAGGAATGCTGCAGTGTGTAAATTCAAAGATTCAATAGTTCTGTTCTCTTCTAAAGATTCACCCAGTCGTCAGTTCTTGAATAACAAGCAGGAATGCTGCAGTGTAAATTCTAGATTCAATAGTTGCTCTTCGAAAGATTCGTCCAGTCGTCTGTTCTTGAATAACAAGCAGGAATGCTGCAGTGTAAATTCAAGATTCAATAGTTGCTCTTCGAAAGATTCGTCCAGTCGTCTGTTCTTGAATAACAAGCAGGAATGCTGCAGTGTAAATTCTAGATTCAATAGTTGCTCTTCGAAAGATTCGTCCAGTCGTCTGTTCTTGAATAACAAGCAGGAATGCTGCAGTGTAAATTCTAGATTCAATAGTTGCTCTTCGAAAAATTCACCCAGGTACGTTTTTCATGGGTACAAAGGCTTTACATGCAGCAGGAAAACAATTTATTAGATGTTGGGCATCCTCAAAGGATGGCGCAACAATAGCAGCAGCATCATTATATATATGTAAGATAAATTCTGGAGAGAAAATTTGTCTAGCACGGAACAGTGAAGCAATATTCCTAGTAGCACCTCTGACAATAAGTATAATCTTTCTACTTCATATCAGCAGAGAACGTTAACCTAAGAAGGTGAAACGGGTCACTCTTCTGGAGGTTAGTATCAGCCATGCGGATGGCCAAAAGGCAGTCTCTCAGATGATTAACAGATTAATTTGGAGGCGTTAAAATTAACAAGCCATTCCCAGTGATTAGCAGATTGTAGGTCATCTAAATGTGTTTCGGCCCTCAAAGGAACGCGTATTGATTTATGCGTCTTGGGCGGTAAATTTCCGTCCAAGGTGAGTAATAACCGAACAAGAGAACACAAAATGAACAAAACAAGATATATCCCAAGAGAGAGAGAGAGAGACTGCTGAACGAAAACAATATACGCCCGTAAATTAAATAAATATTATTCTTCACTTAAAAGGCGTAAAATGAACCGCCATTTTATATCTTTACATGTTTTAATTTCATAAGTGTTCTTTGCTATCTATCTCGGTCTTCACGTGATCGACCTATCTATCTATCTACTCATATCTATCTGTCTCATTCTGTTCATATCTACCTATCTGCACATTATCTATCTATATTCTTATATCTATCTATCTATCTATCTATCTATCTATCTCATTCTATCCATATCTATCTATCTATCTATCTCATTCTGTTCATATCTATCTACCTTCACATTATCTATCTATATTCTTATATCTATCTATCTATCTATCTATCTATCTATCTATCTATCTCATTCTCTTCATATCTATCTATCTATCTATCTATCTATCTATCTATCTATCTATCTATCTATCTCATTCACTTCATATCTATCTATCTGCTCATCTAACTATCTGTTTATATTTATCTATCTCATTCTGCTCATATTTATCTATCTGCACATTATCTATCTATATTCTTATGTATATCTATCTATCTATCTATCTATCTATCTGTTTCATTCTGTCCATATCTATCTATCTATCTATCTATCTATCTATCTCAGTCTGTTCATATCCCTCTATCTATCTATTAGGTTGTTACATATATTCGTTCGTTTTTTTTTCTGATATTCTACGAACGATCTCGAAGAATAATTTTTCGTACTATTTTTGACTTGATATATTTTGATTGTTTTGTCTTCTACGGTTTATCGACCCTTTGCGGGTTATTTAAAGCCAGCAAAGAGTTTCTTTTTTTAAATTGTAAGAATCTTTTTTGCAATAATAATTTATTTACTGATACATAGCGGACGAGAGAAAAGGCGGGTTCATGCCTTTCCCAAGGGTATTTGCTCGTTAGGGACTATAACGAACACGACTGGAATTGAACCTCAGCTCTCCTATTTGCAAGTCTAAGCTATCGTCCATTGCACCACCCGCGCATCCAAGCTTACAGCACCTGCTATTCCCAAGTGGTTGCTCATCTAGGTATTGACCAGGCTCAACGTTGCTTAACTCCGGTGATCGTACGTTCAGCCTTGGTCAACCTGTGAAAGTGTTGTTTAACGTTATTGAAATTTTATTTCAGATTAGACACCCTTTTGAGTTGGAATTCCAATTAGACAAGATATATTCGAAAGTTACTTCTCTTTGCTTTTAATCAAGTTCAAAAAGCTGCCAAAGTTGCTCGAGACATTTGTGCTGCGTACGGAGATGTCTTTATTAAGCGACAAAATGATATGAAATGCTTCCAAACAACCAAATAGTCAATTCTAAGCTGTATGTTGAACAAAGGATCAGGATCAAATGATCCACTGTATTAATTTGTTTTCATCTTAAGTTGTTTTCATATATTCGTTTGTTTTTTTTTTCCGATATTCTGCGAACGATCTTCAAAAATATTGTTTCGTAGCCTTTTTTGCTTCTAAGTAACCCTGGTTATCCCGTGAAAATGTTATCTAATGTTATTTCAGATTAGACCCCCTTTGAGATGGAATGTCAAGTAGGTAAGTATGCGAATATTCGCCATGTTCTCTTGGCTTTTATTCAAGGTCACAAAGCTGCCAAAAGCTGTTCGTGACGTTTGTGCCGCGTACGGAGATGTCTTCATTACAGACAGAATGATATGAAATCCATCAAAACAACCAAATGGTCAATGCTAAGACATAAGTTGAACAAATGAACAGAGGCTCAAAGAGGTAATTCAACTGAAAAAAAAATAATTGATTTCTATGATTAGCTTGTTACATATATTGGGTCCTTTTGCCTGGCGTTCTGGGAATGATCTCGAATAATAATTTTTCATAGCATTTTTTTGCTTCTTAATAACCCTTGTCATCCTGTGAAATTGTTGTCTAACATTATTGACATATTATTGCAGATTTGACACCGCTTTGAGATGGAACATCTCTTTGCTTTTAATCAAGGACACAAAGCTGCTCGAGAAATTTGTGCTGTGTACGGAGATGTCTTTATTAAGCGACAAAACGATATGAAATGCTTCAAAACGAACAAACGGTCAATTCTAAGCTGTATATTGAATAAATGATCAGGATCAAAGTGAAATTTCACCTGAAAAGACCTGACCGGCGGTTCAATGTGATTATTTAACATAACAATGATCGCTCCCACGTCGCTAACATAACCAAATATGCAATTAAAATGCTCGGCTGTGAAGTTCTCACAAATCCACCATATTCTTCGTTTACGGTCGCATTCTAAAAATTTGAGGGGTGTTTCGTTCAACAACGATGTGGAGCTTAACACGTGGCTTGATGAAATTTGAGTCAAAACCTAGTGATCTTCTATCGTCGGGGCATTGAACAGTTCTTGGATCGTTGACTGGTGGTTATAAACAATGAAGCGGAATGCATTGTTGAATGATTCATCAGAATTATTAATAAATAATAAGTATTAAAATAAATTATTAAAAAACGAACGGGTTTATGTAAGAACATAATAAATTTTTGGGTTTATTCGTTGACATTTTGATTCAGCTATGTCATATGGTAGATCAATTGCCCAACAGTCAACCGCCGATTCGAATGAATTATCATCACGAGAATATATTTTGCTAGAAGATTGACACTTATTGGAGTTCCTCAATCATCTTCGGTAGTTCCAGAACATCCCCAGGTTTTCAGAATTAATTTGGTGCGTACTCCACCATTACCCGTTGTAATAATGTTTAAATGTAATAAACGTATAACAATTTAATATACGTTAGTTTACTGTATTTACGCCGTTCAGGAAATAGCAGTTCATTTTACGCGTTCAGGAAATAGCAGTTCATTTTACGCCGTTCAGGAAATAACAGTTTATTTTACGCTGTTCAGGGAATATTAATTTATTTTACGCCTTACAGGGAAAAACAGTTTATTTTACGCCTTTCAGAGAATAGCAGTTTATTCTACGGCGTTCAGGGAATATTAGTTTATTTTACGCTGTTCAGGGAATAGCGGTTTATTTTCCAACTTTCAGTGAATAGCCGTTTAATTTACTCTGTTCAGGGAGTAGCAGTATATTTTACGACTTTCAGTAAACAGCAGTTTATTTTACCCTGTTCAGGGAATAGGAGTTTATTTTAAGCCTTTTAGGGACTGACAGTTTATTTTTACGATTTTCAGGGAACTCGAGTATTATCGAGCAAGTACTATTAGTGCGAGTGTTATTCGAAGGCGTCTGACACCAACATTGTTCAACGGCGTTACTATAGTTGTATCTGCGATTACAAAGTCTCTACTACAACAAGCATTACGAAAGTGACAACGAGTATTCTTTGACATTACAAAACTCTTCATCCCCGAAATCCAGAAAGAAAATATGAGATTAAATAAAATACTCGGATCGACCAACACCTGAAGAAGACCGATACCTTGAGATAATAACATAAAAACGTAAGGACGTTAATCCACATGCAAACAATGTAACCAATTGTTATGGGACCTTATCCATAATAACATAATGGACTATTCCATACGTAATAAATACTGCGCCTCAAGAGGAAGCAGGGAGTTCAGTCTGAAGTCGGACGACCGGCTGACCGGCTGATCGGTTGAACTCTCTGCCTTCGGGCGGGGAGGAACCCGAACGAGACTACGCCGAAGGGCGGAGTCTCTTTCGGGGAGGTAAACCGTCCCTGAACCCGTTTATACGGGTTCAAAGGGCATATTTTTGGCCGAGCCCACGGGCTCGGAGATCCCACCTTAAACCGGCCTTGTGCCACATGATGCCCTCGTGGGTGGGGGGTGACTAAATACTGTTCAGTCTTAACTCTGGAGTGAGGTCCGTCAGGAGTCTGTCAGTCAGTCAGAGCGAGCGAGTCAGTCAGTCGAGTCAGAGGCAGTCCGAAACAGAGTCGCGTTCATATAATTACTACTAAACCTGATTGTTCGTACTAACACTTTCTACTTCTCTGTATATATTCCTGTTTGTAATATATCTGTGTTATTCCATATCCGTATTCGAGTTCTTCTTTATTGGTTCTACCTTGGACTATCATCGTGGTACAAGGAACCGGACCCTAACACCAATGTAAATAATAGAAATAACAATGATAATAATAGAAATAACAGAATGATATGTTCGGACAGTGTTGTGTCGGAAAACTACCACCCCTCTGGAAGATGAACTTGTCTGCGAACAAAGACTTTAAATAGTGGCATGTCAGTTGACATGGGGGAAGACAGATAGATAGAGAAATTCTTAGCTGAGCTAGTTATTGAATACTCAGGCGATTTCTGTACCTTTTTACCAACCTATTAAAACCCTTTTTATTGTTACGTGTTATTTTGGCGTTTGTCTCTACTAACCCCCAAATCAACATCATGACAGACAGTGAGTTCGATGTTAGGAATGGAGAGGGGTCACCCGTGTTTGACTTGTAGAAGGTCAATAGGAGTAAACCCTTCCTAAATTAAAGAAAATGTGCGCTCATATTTATATTATAAAGTCTACAATTGACTGATCCCGCTGTTGTGAATCGTATGAGATTATATATCTTAAAGTAAAACGCCTCAGAAATAAATATTTTTGGTACTTGAACCGAGTGAGCCACTCTGTCAAATACGCCCCGCTCTATCTATTTATGTCCAATTATTATGCATGACTGAGTATTTATCGTTCCACCCACGAGGACCGAATATGGCACAAGGCCGGTTTTAATGTGGGTATCCCCGAGCCCGTAGGCTCGGCCAAAAATATAGCCTTTGAACCCGCCTAGACGGGTTCAGGCCCTGTCTACCTCCCCGGACGAAATCCCGCCCTTCGGCAAAGCCTCGTCCGGGTTCCTCTCTGCTAACGCAGAGAGTTCGACAGAAGGCACACGCAGTCAGAGACCGCTCAACACCACTACGCATGACTGTGTAACGTTCTGTTTGAAAGGCCCTCAGATCGTAACGATATTGAGTCACAACGAGGGTGTCATGTAACACAAGGCCTTTTTAACGTGGGCAATTCCCCGAGCCGTTAGGCTTGGCCAAAAAATAGCCCATTTGAACCCGTATAAACGGGTTCAGGGCCGGTTTTACCTCCCCGAAGGAGACTTCGCCCCTCGGCGTAGCCTCCTTCGGCTTCCTCCCGCCCATAGGAAGAGAGTTCAAACCGAGCAGTCGGTTCAAAAGTGAACGACTGACTCACTCTCCCTCAGATCGTAACGATAGCTAAGAGATTCCACCTGACAAAGGTTTTGTAACGTTGTGTTGGATTGGTTCTAAGATCATAACGCTATCTATGAGATTCCATCTGCTAAAGACCGGGTAAAGTTGTGTTGGAACGGTCCTGGGATCGTAACGATAGCTTAGTGATTCCAGCTGACACAGGTCTTGTAACGTTGTGTTGGACTGGTTCTACGTTCATAACGCGAGCAATTGGATTCCAGCTAACAAAATTTTTGTAACGTTGCGCTGGAACGATTCTGAGATCATACCGGTAACTAAAGGATTCCACATGACAAAGATCTTGTAGCGTTGAGTTGGAACGGAAGTGAGATCATACCGGTAGCTTAAAAAATTCCAGCTGACAAAGATCTTGTAGCGTTGAGTTGGAACGGGTCTGAGATCATACCGTAGCTAAAGGATTCCATCTGACAAAGATCTTGTAAATTTGTCTTGAAACGGTTCTGAGAACATAACGATAGCTAACAGATTCCACCTGACAAATGTCTTGTAACGTTGTGCCCGACTGGTTCTAAGATCATAACATCATCTATGAGATTCCAGCTGCCAAAGACCGTGTAACGTTGTGCTGGAAAAGCTTTAAGGTCATGACGATAGCTAAAAGTTGCTAGCCTACAAAAGTTTTGGAATTTTATCTTGAAACGGTTCTGAGATCTTTTGGAAGCCTTCTGAAATCATAACGATAGCTAAGGGGTTTCAGATACGAAAGACCTTGTAATATTGTGTTGAAACGGTTCTGAGATCTTAACGTGAGCTATTAGATTCCAGCTGCTCTTGTAATGATGCGTTGGAACGGTTCTGAGATCTTAACGATAGCTAAGAGATTCCAACTTTGCTATTGAGATGAAATATTTTGTTTGGGCTTCTGGCGGACATTCTTTATTTTGAAGATAGGTAGTTTTTTTGTTTGTTTGTTTTTGTTTGTTTTTTGTTTTTTTTGTTTTTTTTGTATCCCACTCGTTTCAAAGCCAGTCAAATAATCATGTGCACCATTCTTTTTTTTATGTGACGTCTCCTTTCAGGGCGTAGGCGATCATCACTCTCCACAATAGCTTGTCCCTTGTTGCTCTAAGCAGCGTTTGACACTCAACCATTTTCCCCTTATCCTTAGCCTGCCATCTATTAGGCAGGTTACTCGTCATTTTCCTGAGAGTGTTAAATTTTCGAAGCCGTCTTTCCAGCTGTCACTTTCTAATTTGTCCACAGAATTCGCATTTTCTTGTAAAATTCCTCTTTGCTTGCATATTCTGTTCGCAGTATTTTCAGTACTGAACCAAATCTTTATATTTCAATAATTTCACCCAAAGCAAGGCGATAAAGCCACTACGACGCAAGAGGTTACTCAGAATGAAAGGAACTGAGAAAACGTTATGGCGGAGAAAGGACAATATAAAACAGGAGTCAAGGAGACAGAAGATGGCGACGGACATAAATTTTCGAACATAATATTTGACAGGAAAGGAGAAAAATGCAGAAGTGAGTTCCATAAGCGAGAAGTTCGAGAGAATAAATTAAAGGATAAAATTTACGGTTAAACCTAGTATTTTTAACTGTAAAATGATGAGACCTCGCTGCTAATCTAGTACTGCCCTTCAAATCATGAAGTCGGCGTACCAAAGAGGAAAGCAACATTTATTTTGAAAATATAAAAATCTGACAGAAGATCAGAGGGCGGGGTGGAGGTGGGGTAGTCTGATCTTCAATCTGTCTTATCTTGAACATAGCTAGCCACAGTTACTGACCCAAACAGTATCCCTTACATCAAAACAACACATTGTAACTTACCATTCTAACTACAGCCACCGTAATACCACAAGGTCTCTATGAAGTCCTAAAGAAATAGTGTGAATAATACAAGAATTTGGCACAAGGTCAAAAGAGGGATGGGGAAAGCTGATCATCAATCTCTTTTATCTTAAACTTAGCTAACCACATTTTCTGACCGAAACATACCACAGTGTTCCTTACACCAAAAAAAAAACACATTTTACCATTCTTTCTACAGCTATCATAATACCTCAAAGTCTCTATAAATTCCTAACTAGTTTCCATATTTGTTAGGGGGGAGGTCCAAATGAATATTTACAATGATTACAATTTTATATATAAGAGATTAAACAAAATAGTGTAAGTAATAATAATAATAATAATAATAAAAACAACTCACAATCCTTAATTGTGGCAAAAAAATTAGTTAACAGGACGGAATTAATGCCAAAGAAGACCAAAGATGAAAGATCATCAGAACAATGACAATACTTATAGAGAATGCACAGGGAAGATATGTTGAAACCGAGGTGCCAGGTTAGGACCGATAACATTGCAGATTCTTTGGATTTTGCTAAGAATATCTAGATACGTAGCAGAAGCACCAAACCAGATGTGGCAGCAATGTTTAACACGAGGATAAATGGTAATAATTGGCGCTACATATTCATTCAGTGGAAAACTTTTGACTGAGAAAACCGTTTTCTCGTTGATGTTAGTATCAACAATGCTGATGGAAGCTTAAAAAGTAAAAAGGCTCTCTCAGACAATTATTGGTTCGAGTCATTTCTTCATCTTTAAACAAATTGTCCAGCATTACTGAAAGACAGATACGAAATAGCAGTTTTGTTTTGTTTTTTTTTGGGAGGGGGGTTGCTTAAGAAAGAGGGAGAGATGTTGAACTGCCCGCGTTCCCGGTGTGTGGGTGCATTTGCTCGCGCTTGCTGGCAGATGTTCTGGAATCTGTGGAGGTGGCAATTCGAAGGAAAAGTAAACGATATTGATTTTAAAGTGAATGAAATGTCGATATCTCTCTCTCTCTCTCTCTCTCTCTCTCTCTCTCTCTCTCTCTCTCTCTCTCTTTCTTTCTTTCTTTCGTTTTTTATTTGCAGGAAGTAATTAGAAACACCTGATAATAAAGATTTCTGGGGTAATACCAAGACGCGAAGACAATATCTGAATAGTTGAAGACATGTCGTGGAATTTAATTTACTGGATGTCTTTCAAAAATATTACACGGAAGAATTTCCGAACTTCTTGTTCCTACTCACTTTTATACCTACATACATATATGCATATAAATATATAATAATTTCACACACACAAACACACATTCTCTCTTGCTCTCTCATCTCACTCTCTCTCTCTCTCCTTTTCTCTTTCTCCTTCTCTCCTCCTCTCTATTTCTCTCTCTCTCTCTCTCGCTCTTTCCCGCTTTTTCTCTCTCTTGGATGGTTGGCTGGTGAGAAGACAGGGGAATAAGGGTAGGTGTCTTTTATCTGTAAGCCTTTTGTGATCAAACTGCAAGAAACACGCCAATGAAAGGCAGGCTTCCTCAATATTCAACATGGATTTTTTTTTTCTCTTCTTCAAACGACAATTTGGGTCAGAAAAAGAAGCTAGACTTTAATTAAAAATAAATGACACACGATTTAAACATATATGTGTGCGTGTGTGTATGCGATGAAAAACATTTACATTACAGACACAACACACACACACACACATATATATATATATATATATATATATATATATATTCAAGAAAGAAATTCGGATTACCAACATACAAACAGAAAATGTCTCATATCGAGAATATTTAACATTGAACATGAAGAAAAATTAATTATTTTTAATAATATGTGGAAATCTCCACTTTTACCTGAAGACGGTCGCGAGACCAGAAACACGTGTCGTAAAATTATGTAAAACAAAGCATAATATTTTTTCTAAATGAATCCACATTACAACCAAAAACGTTTGCGGCACCTCTCTTCTCTTCGTTTTAATATACATAATTTTCTCTCGTTGGAACCACTACAACATATTTCTTTTTTATATATATATATATATATATATATATATATATATATATATATATATACCAGGTGTAACAGTAAAATTGTTCAATCGTGCAACAGCAAAATAGTTCAATTTTTAGATTAAGATTTGAACCGTTGTATCTTAGAAATGATTAAAGATACCTTACTGGAATTCTCCGAGATTTTTATAACACTGCTGAACTCTACTTTGAACAATAATAATGTATTTAGCTCTAAGTTGAAATGATGATCCCTCTTCCTGCTGTGACCTCCTGGTCCATTTTCCCTCTGTACTGTCCCCTCTTTTTTAAACTTATTCACCGTTCGCTTGATTGTTCTCGAATGGACCCTTGAAGATGAAAGCCAGAGTATGAATGTTGGTACCAGTACTGAAGGCCTGAATGATCTTTTTCCTCCCTCCATTGCTCAGTTGAGAAGACATAATGTGGCTGACACAAAACGATTTTTACCTGTTCCATTTCTAGCGGAATAACTCAAAGGGTTTTTCAGTGATTCTTACGATAAATGGTGACAAGATTGCTAAACGTCTTATCTAAAAACCTGTAAAGAAGAAACTCAATTATTTTAGTGTTTGTTTAGATATTAAACATTTTAGGGATGGACAATTATTCCATGATGTTACACGATTCGGACAATTTTTCTGTTACACCCCGTATCGGACATCTAGCCACACTGATGAGCTGTGATACAGCAGAACAGGCTTGTATGTGAATGGCTATATATATATATATATATATATATATATATATATATATATATATATAAATATAAAGAAAGATGGTACACGTGTTCTTCTAATAATATGTAAATTTAATAGGCCGGCTAATCAAATTTGACCAATAAAAAACTCAATATTAGTAATAAGAATGATAATATCTATTATACATTAATAGGCCCTTTGACTAAATTGAAGCACGAAGAGAAAGGTGTTATGGGATCCTCCCCTTTTTCATATAAGTGGACTCGACCAGAGTGCTACTTGGACTGCTGCCGTTAAATACCCAGAGTCAGTCATTATACACAGAGAGAGAGAGAGATTGTGAGCAGAGATTGTGATTGAGTTGGAGGTAGAGTAACAGTGTGAGGTAACCGCTTGTAGAAGTCAGTTACAAGCACGTAGACTCTAAGGAAGTCCTACTTCGAGACTGTATATATCTATATGTTATTGCTACTAACCGCGTTCCTGGATTTACTAACAGTATTACCCTTTGTATTACTGTGTAAATACATTTCATTTCTTATATTTAATTCCTGCGTTTGTCATTCATTGGAGTCCGAATTTGATCTCGGAATCCACAACAAAAGGTTTTAACAACAAAAATTTTCTCTGTCGCTGCACACTTCAACCAAACATTCCACAGCATTCATGACTTCAGATGTGTCTTTTTAGCATCTTCATTTAACAGTCGACCAGAAAGACACAGATCGGAGTTGAAATACACTTAACCAACATCAACAACAACATTTCCCGGAAGAGTAAGTCCCACATCTTTGTTTATTCTTCATCTTGTTGAAAAAGGTCACATTAAAATCTTCCTCTTCGTGCTTGAATTTAGTCAAAAAGGCTAACATATAATTAATACCAATCTTACTGCCGATATTATTTTCATCTTGTCTTTTTATTCGTCAAATTTCATTAACCCCCAATTTAATCCACACACACACACACACACACACACACACACACATATATATATATATATATATGATAAAATATAGTTTTAAGGTAGGTTATATTTATGGGTTAAAGTGCTCATTATCAGGGATAGCGCGTATGTAAATATAAAAGTAAACATTGATGTCAATGTCCACTTTTATATTTATGTTTTGAACAATAAAAAATATTAAAAATTAAAATTTTCAGACACTCTGCGTTGTATATTAATATTTTCTTGTTTTATTATTAAAATTATGTTTCTTGACGAGTTTCGGCCAGCATGGCCATCATCAGGAGAAAAAAAATCCCTACTTGTTAGTAGCAGTGAACAACAGGAGTGAATGACTGTCGCTGAAGAAAGTGAACTTTATCTGTAGTTTTCATTTGTTTCTTTTTTGTTGTTGTTGTTGTTTTTGTTTTTTGGGGGTTTTTTTGTTTGTTTGTTTTTTTTCCTTAATTTTGATCAGTCTCTGTATTGGTTAAATGGCCTCTTTCAAGTTGCTTTTAAAACAGTGGCTGGGAGATTCCTGAATCTTAGAATTCCCTCCTTGGTCATTTTGACAGTTTTATTGGTTGCTAAGGAGTGAATGCTATCTTTCAGTTTTTTAGGAGTGTGTATAATGTGTGTATGGTATATATTTGCGTGAGTGTGCATGTGTGAGACCTCAATTCCTCTGCAGGTTTTCTGCTTTGTGTGGGTGAGAAATATGTGTAGGGCGTGATTTATGGGATTATATATTAATTCTATCTCTGTTGTTTAATTTGTGCTTAAGCCCGTCTGGATGAAGTGTTTTGAGGCGCAAAATCCATTTGTCTTCATGTTCCTCTAGTATTTTTCTGAGGTTATCTTTTCTGTCTATTTCTATTATAGTGAATTTTCCATGACTTTTAAAATCGTGTTTTTCTAAGCGGAAATGTTGTTCTACAGGTCATAAACTTTCGTGGGGAGCCGACTTGATCCGATTCCGATAATTATTAATCTGTATTGAAAAGGGCATTGAAATTTCACACATATTGTTTCTGGCATCGTATGTATTCTAATAAATAAATTATGTTATAACTCGTGCAGTTAGACTTGTAGATTTTGAAAGTAGATTTAGTAACTGGGTTAGTAAACGAATCGGTATGTCTATTGTATGTTACAGCATAAACTCTTTTTTTTTTTGTTACATGGTTGGGAAAATCCTGTTTTTATTCTTGGTCTATTACGGTTTACCCTATCATTTGAAATTTGGTTACTACCTATAATTTCCTTAAGGTACTTATATATACTTTACTAGCAGTAGAGCCCGGCGTTGCCCAGGGATATAACATTAAGAGATAGATCAAGTATCGACCATCATAAAGACTGAAAAATAAAATTGACAAAGATTATTGTTTAAAGTTGACAGACACGCATGTCTTAATTAGTTTTTGTTTTGTTTTGTTTCGTTTTTTTTTTGTTTTTGTTTTTACGAATTAGTCAAACCCAAATTGTTTTCAATCGTTATGTATCTACCGATTGAATAGAATTTTATTATAAACAATTGTCTTGTAAATGGAATTTTTAAAGCATTCTGAATGTAAAAATAAAGAAAAAAGTGTGCAAGACAATAAGAAAGACTACCTGCCAAAAACAAAGTGAAGTTTTGTTGAAATCGGTTGAAAAATGTAGGAAATCCGACCCCATATATAAACGAACACAGATACACACACACACACAAACAACCTGGGTTTTATAGTAGATATAACTCGATATGAGTTGTCCCCCTTTCATTCTCGCGATGCCTCTTAATCGTGTTTTCAAATTGATTTCGTGCAAAAATAATTGTATTTTTCCAATTTTTGGCGCTGTCAGAACCACCGCAAGGTAATTTTATGTAGTTCTGTGAATTGTTGAAATCGGTTGAAAAATATAGGAAATCCGATCCAATATATAAACGTACAGACACACACACACACACACACACACACACACACACACACACACACACACACACACAACCTGGGTTTTATAATAAGTATGATGCTAGAAAATGTAGTATTTTCCAGTGACTTAAGATTATCGGTGATAGTGACGGAAGAGTGGTGATGAAAATGGTTACTACAGGAATGGCTCTGGATTTATTTTTAATTTTATGAATTAAGGTGTCTTCTCTAGGTGTGGAAATTGCTTTATTTATTTGTTCCCTGATTAGGTGTTATTTATAGGTACGTGGAATGAATTGACGCTTGAGATTTTTAGTATGTTTACTTAGTACTTCATTGTTAGAACATATACTTCTGAATCTAAATGCTTGTGAATAGGAAAGGTTCTACTTGAGGTGTTTTGGGTGGGAAGGCTTAAAGTGTAGATAGTTGTGGGTGTCGGGGATTTTAGTGCGTAGTGTCGTTTGTAGTTTTCTGTTTTCATTGATGTA